GCAGCCGTTCACCGTGCCGTTCGGCGTGAGCACCGGTCCACTGTAGCATATTTTTGCTATTTATGATATTTTTCCATCGATACTGGAACGTGCGTGAACTACAAAGCCTATTTTACCTAATAAGGCTAATAGTTTAGCTTCAGCTACATCGCGAATATGGACACATCTGGAGAGGTAAGCCCAACTTTACCTTATGTTTCTTTATAAATTAATTTGTTTTGGCATGTTTATTGCTAAGCATATATTATTATATACTGCAATTTATCCATTAGAATTATATATTTTTAAATTCTTATTCTGTTCTGATACGATTAAATTTAAAGGATTTGTTGTAAAGTGAGGGGAACTAAAATATCCTATAGTGTTCATAATGTTGGTACATTATAACATTATTAGGCCTGCCGTTATTATTTCTGAAAATGCAACTTATACGAGACGAAAACATTTTTTTATTATGTTTTTAAAAGCATGCAGCAAACGAAAATATGCGAGATCTGTCAAAAACATGACTGGGTCACACACACACACACACACACAAAAAAAAACCTATCTATATATAAAATAACATGAAGCTTTCATATAAAATAAAAAAGAAAAATAAATTAACGATACGATAATTTGTTTAAAAACACATACACACACACACATGTTCTATAAATATTGTCAATACACATTGAAAATAAATAAAATACTTTTATTACTGTAAAAAAATCTAAAGTGTCTAAACAAATGACAGTATTGACAAATCAGGTTATTTTACATTACACTAAGAAGAATTTTAAGGGTAAATGTGCTTAATTGTCATGACAAAAAATGTCACAAATGCAAAAAAAAGCCATAATTTATTCATGCAAGATATATTCTTTTGTTTTTAGGGTATGACCCAGATATGTTCTTTCTCTCTCTCTCTAATATACACATACACACACACACACACACACACACATACATATATATATATATATATATATATATATATATATATATACAGTGTGTACGGAAAGTATTCAGACCCCCTTAAATTTTTCACTCTTTGTTATATTGCAGCCATTTGCTAAAATCATTTAAGTTCATTTTTTTTCCTCATTAATGTACACAGAGCACCCCATATTGACAGAAAAACACAGAATTGTTGACATTTTTGCAGATTTATTAAAAAAGAAAAACTGAAATATCACATGGTCCTAAGTATTCAGACCCTTTGCTGTGACACTCATATATTTAACTCAGGTGCTGTCCATTTCTTCTGATCATCCTTGAGATGGTTCTACACCTTAATTTGAGTCCAGCTGTGTTTGATTATACTGATTGGACTTGATTAGCAAAGCCACACACCTGTCTATATAAGACATTACAGCTCACAGTGCATGTCAGAGAAAATGAGAATCATGAGGTCAAAGGAACCGCCTGAAGAGCTCAGACACAGAATTGTGGCAAGGCACAGATCTCGCCAAGGTTACAAAAAAAAATTTCTGCTGCACTTAAGGTTCCCAAGAGCACAGTGGCCTCCATTCCTTAAATGGAAGACGTTTGGGACGACCAGAACCCTTCCTAGAGCTGGCCGTCCAGCCAAACTGAGCTATCGGGGGAGAAGAGCCTTGGTGAGAGAGGTAAAGAAGAACCCAAAGATCACTGTGGCTGAGCGCCAGAGATGCAGTCGGGAGATGGGAGAAAGTTGTAGAAAGTCAACCATCACTGCAGCCCTCCACCAGTCGGGGCTTTATGGCAGAGTGGCCCGACGGAAACCTCTCCTCAGTGCAAGACACATGAAAAAACACCTGAAGGACTCCAAGATGGTGAGTGAAGGACTCCAGGATGGTGAGAAATAAGATTCTCTGGTCTGATGAGACCCAGATAGAACTTTTTGGCCTTAATTCTAAGCGGTATGTGTGGAGAAAACCAGGCACTGCTCATCACCTGTCCAATACAGTCCCAACAGTGAAGCATGGTGGTGGCAGCATCATGCTGTGGGGGTGTTTTTCAGCTGCAGGGACAGGACGACTGGTTGCAATCGAGGGAAAGATGAATGCGGCCAAGTACAGGGTTATCCTGGACGAAAACTTTCTCCAGAGTGCTCAGGACCTCAGACTGGGCCGAAGGTTTATCTTCCAACAAGACAATGACCCTAAGCACACCGCTAAAATAACGAAGGAGTGGCTTCACAACAACTCTGTGATTGTTTTTGAATTTTCCAGCCAGAGCCCTGACTTAAACCCAATTGAGCATCTCTGGAGAGACCTAAAAATGGCTGTCCACCAACGTTTACTATCCAACCTGACAGAACTGGAGAGGCTCTGCAAGGAGGAATGGCAGAGGATCCCTAAATCCAGGTGTGAAAAACTTGTTGCCTCTTTCCCAAAAAGACTCATGGCTGTATTCGATCAAAAGGGTGCTTCTACTAAATACTGAGCAAAGGGTCTGAATACTTAGGACCATGTGATATTTCAGTTTTTCTTTTTTAATAAATCTGCAAAAATGTCAACAATTCTGTGTTTTTCTGTCAATATGGGGTGCTGTGTGTACATTAATGAGGAAAAAAAATGAACTTAAATGATTTTAGCAAATGGCTGCAATATAACAAAGAGTGAAAAATTTAAGGGGGTCTGAATACTTTCCGTACCCACTGTATATAAAATAATAAAAAGCATTTATTTTGTTATTGAGATATGAAAATTAAATATACATATAAATTAACTATACAATAAATAATATAATTGTTGTGACATCAATGTCACAATGCAAAAAGCATCATTTTTATATATGCATAGCAATTCTATATACAGTAGTTCTTGACAGATTTTGTGAGATTCGCTCTTTTAGTTTGTGAGTTACCTGACTCAGTTTGGAAATTGTAGAGATCAGATAAATATCTTCTCCGTTTCAGAATACAAAACAGATCGCCCATAATATTCTCTGTGTTTAATTGGTATTAATAAGGTCATGATTTCAGAAACGTTGTGCATTCATATGCAACATTTATCCAGCAGATGCTCAGTGCAGGACTGTCCAGGAAGTGAAGAGAAACTATCACACCTTGCTGGGACTGTATGCTGGGCAGGACACTCTCGATGGACGCTAAAGCTCTTCTGTGGTATTCAGCTTGAGCTTCTACCAACTGTCAAGACAAATACACAAAAACTTCACACTTTTTCTATTTTTGTTTGAGAAAACGAAAATTTTGTGACTGAATGATCTAATAATTGCCTATATACTGTAAAATATAGTATATAAACAACAGCTTTATTCACTTAAGTTAACTCCACTGACCGGATATGCTACTAGTGTATAGTAGGAAGACCTATGAATACCATTGATCTTTGACCGGTTTCTTAATGAAGATCATTAAAGGTCATTCTGATACCTTATTTGCAAGTTAAATGCATTATTCCAGTATAAATCGAACTTTATCAGACATTATTTGTCTTCTGTATTCTGCTCTTAGAAATGACTTACCAACACATAATAGCAAGCATATTCTCCTTCCTTGGAGGAAAAGTTGTACATGTCTGCTGCCAGTTGATCCTAAAGACAAAAAGAGATCAAACTAGATTTAATGTGCTACCGAGGGTTGCCTAAAAACCGCAATAAAATCTGACACATATCCATACCTTGCATATTTCCATTTTGTTCTGAGCTTCATCCATCTCCTCTTTAAGTGTGTCAACTTTGGCAGCCATTGCTTGAGCATTTGCAGCTGATGGATACGCCTTTGTGGCCTGCTGATACCTGTATTACCAAAGTATTTTTACTATTATTCAGAGCAAAGTTTTTTATGCTCAGCAAGGCTGCATGTTTTAAATCAAAAATACAGTAAAAACAGTAATATTGTGAAATATTATTTC